TGCCCGATCCCTGCGCTCTCCCCTGCAGGGCTGTGGGCGCAGATGAGGCTGGAGGAGACCGGCGGGGCTCTGCGAGCGCCCGGCGAGTCCGTGCTCCTCTCCTGCCGCGGGTCCGGGTTCACCTTCGAGAATCATCCCATTTGGTGGTACCGTCAGGCACCCAGAGGCAGACCCGACTGGGTGTCCATTGACAGCCCTGATTTCTCTCACGATGAATACGGCCCAGCAATAGAGGGTCGAGCCTTCATGTTCAGAGACAAGTCCCGGTCCGAGGTTTATCTGTCCCTGCGGGAGCTGCAGCCCTGGGACTCTGCCCGATACTCCTGCGCTGCTCTCACGGCGACAGGAAACCCAGCCGAGCTTTAACACAAACCTGATGGCACAGAGAGCACGAGATTTGGAGATGGAGATTTCTAAAGTAGCTCAGGGCTGTTCTCCTGGAATCGGGGGCCATCACTGTTCTCTGCAGGTGGTTCTGGCCTTTCTTCCAAAGCTCTTTTTCCCACAATGACAAATACAATGTTTTATTCTTTAGTAGTGGTTCAAAGTGCTTCTATCACTCAAGCAGCCTGATCACTCTGCCTGGCTCCAGCCCCTCTCTGCCTTCCTTTGGTCTCCTTTCCTGGGGCACCCCTGAAGCACCTGGGAGATAAAGTTACCTTGCAGTGCACCATAAGTGAAGACAATATGAGATATTACTGCATGTCCAGGTACCATCAGGGCCTGGGTGATATCTATGGAGAAGGTTCCCAAGATCACTTTAAGGGATCCCTACGGAGCTCCATGAACAGATTCACACTGCAGATCCTGGCAGCACAGCCAGGGGATGCAGCAAAGCATTATGTGGAGCAGCATCACCCTAGAGCAGCTGTGCAGCAGAGTGGAACAAAAACTGACTGATGGGGAAAAAAAGGCTGACAGATCTCTCAGCATTTCTTTCCATCAGCTGCTCACCAGGGGCTGTTGTCAGGCAATGGCAGGGGCAGGAAAGAGGCCTCTGGATTGGTGGCAGTACGGGCAGTGGAGGGAAGTGTGGGAGAAGGGCTGGCACCCTTTGTTATACAGGAGGGTCTGTTCTGGGAACTTCAGGGTCTGTTTGAGCAAGTGCAGTTTTAGTGCACTTTGCTGGGGCTCCTCTCCAGCACAGCCCCATTTTTCCTCTGTGACTTGGCTGCAGAGCCATGGGATGATGGAGATGTGTTGTGGTATCTTCCAGAGTGCTGTGGGGATGGAGCCAGGCTGTTTAGGAAACACAGATCAACAGATGACATTGCTCGGAGTGGCTGCTACAGATCAACTGATCAGGGAGGCGTAGAGAAGATGTGGAGGGTTGACTTTGTCTGTCCACCAGGTCCCCCTCCTCAACTGGACAGGAGGAAAAATTGAAATGAAAGGTTTGTGGAGCAAGATAAGGACAGGGAGATGTCCCAGGGGTTCCCATTATGGGAAAATAGATTAATTCAGGGAAATTAATTTAATTTATTGCCAATCAAATCAGAGTAGGATGATGAGAAGTAAGGACAAATTTAGAAACATCTCCTCTATCCAATCATTGCACAGAGATTGGGAATGGGGCTTGCAGTCAGTTCATTACATGTTTTCCCTACCATTTCTTCCTTCTCCTGCTCTTCCCCTACTTCAGAGTGGAGTCTGACCCGTGGAAGACATTTCTCAAATAACTCCTCTAATGTGGACTCTTCCCTCTGGCTGCAGTTCTTCACAAACTCCTCCATCCTGGGCCCTCTGCATGGGCTGCAGTCCTTCAGGAACAAACTGCTGCACTGTGGGTCCCCTGCAGGGCACAGGTCCTGCAAGAAAACCTCCTCCAGCGTGGGCTCCTCACTCCATGGGAGTGCCATTCCTGCCAGGAGCCTGCTCAGCGTGAGCTCTCCAGGGAGTCACAGATCTTTCCAGGACATATCCAATGGCTGTGCCATGAGATTCTCTGCTGTTTGCAGGATCCATATCTGCTCCACCATCAGCTGAGAGGGACAACCTGTATCACCACCTCTTCATCACGGGCAGCCAGGGAATCTCTGCTCTGGCCTCTCTCACTTTTCTGGAATTTGCTGACACAGCTAATGCATATGGAACACAACTAAAATGTATCTAATACAAATAATGCATATGTAACATTACACTGCATAAAAGGAGCTGAACAAAGGCAATGGGTGTGTGTGATTGGAGGAATTATCCCCCAGGCACCTGGGGCCGTGAATAAACATACCTGCTGCAATACTCTGGGCGAGTTTGGGGGCTTGTTTCCACAAGTCATTATCATGGGTCAATCCCCACTGCAAGGCCACTGGAGTGATTTACAATCCTCCTCACCCCTCTTCTGCTCTTAACCCATTCCTCCCAACACTCTCAGAGCCTGCTTGCTCCTTCCCAGCACTGTCCTGGCACTGTCATTGATACCCCAAGGAAGAGAAGGAGGGGTAACAGACTGCAGGTGCAATAAGTTGGGCAAGTGCATTCAAAGTGTCCCCAGATGGAGTCCACGGCAAGGAGGTGACTGGTCCAGCAGCAGGACAGCACTGAGTCTGCTCTGTGGCTGCAAATCTTCACCTTGGTGCCAGGAGTTCCCAGCCTTTGTCACCGTGACAACCTCCACTTCCCACCCTGATGGGCACAGACTCAACCTGCCTCTGTTAGAAAAGGGAGGTGTGGGCTCCTGAAGCTGCAGAGGCTCAGAGGTGGAGTCCATCTCTTGCCATCAAGGTCCATGTCGTGTTAACGCTGCACAAGTTGATCATCATGAAGGATTTGATCAATCTGCAGCAGCTCCTTTAATCTCTGCAGTCACTCCCGTGGCTACAGTGCCTCTGCCTAACAAAGAACCATCCTTTTGCCTACGTTCTCATCTTACCCAAAGCAGCAAAAAGACTTTCTAAGCACTAAGTGACCCCAGACACCAATTCTAAGAGCCCAGAGAGGCACATTCCTCATGCTGCTGAGCATGACACCAAATTACAGGTGAAGATACAGACAACTCCCTGCAAGCCTGAAGAATTTTCCAAAATGCTTTGAAATAGCACTAAATGTACTGATTTGTTTCC